AAAAGAAGAAAAAAGAAGAAAAAAGAAGAAAAAAGAAGAAAAAAGAAGAAAAAAGAAGAAAAAAGAAGAAAAAAGAAGAAAAAAGAAGAAAAAAGAAGAAAAAAGAAGAAAAAAGAAGAAAAAAGAAAAAAAAAGAAAAAAAGGAACTATCAGTGTCTAAGCACGTGATGCACTCCACAGCTCTGGAGGTTATTCGTTTTCTCCAGAGATAACCCAGACAAACGTTTTCCAAATGCTGTCTGGAAAAAAAGGCAAAGTCAAACCACAGTCACAGAATTATTTTGGTCATCATATGAGCCACAATGCCTTCGCTAGGAGCTTCTGGAGCTTCTTCTCTTTTATGAATGATGACTTCCCTACTTTTTTTTTTAAAAATGATTTAATGACATATCCAAAAAATTGAAATAGCTTTTAATCAGTGCGCCTCACTGATTAGAAATTTGGCTCAGCTAAAAATGTAGCATCAAACTTCTAAAGGATTAATACAACAACGACAAGTCAAACTGGAAGGCATATTTAAAAAAAAAATAATCACAACAAGCTTTCTTAAAAGGAGAAACAAGGTAGTCTTAAAATAATTTGAGAAACTTTGGAAGAGACCAAGTCAATGACAACAAGGTGAAGGAAGGTCTCAGAAGAAGCGAGCAGGACATGCATCTGACCTCCACACTTCCAGCTTTTCCAAAAAAAGAGGGAAAAGAAGCAAAACTCTGCGAATTCTCTCACTTCTGAAGACAAACAACAACAAGATCACATTACATTTTGATAAAGGACGCATAGTAAGCTGTTTACATACATCCTATAGAAAATGTTTCTATGTTTAATGTAATATAGAAAAATGTTTACTCCCCAGCTCATGGCTTTTTTTCTGTAGGGCTAGATCTAGGATTTCCTGCCAGCTTTCCCAGCTCCAGTTCAGGGCATGCTGCTTCATTTTTTAAATGTTCTTTTTCACTCCTTAGGGAATTACGTATGAGTCACTGCAACGGGTGTTTCCGAAACAGTGAGATGATATCCATACAGTCAATCCCTGACTTGTATAAAAAATAAAAAATAAAAAAGAGGTATTTGGCATAATTTTTTTTTTTTTTGCAAATTAGGTTCTTCCTTTTTGCAAAAGAGAGGAATGCAAATAAAGGTATAAGGAACATGACCGTATCCTTTTGGAAACACGTTTCTAAATGATAAAAAATAAATGAAAAAAAAAAAAAAGCTGGGAGAGACCTCCGGAGCGCGCGGGGTTGGTCAGCGGGCACCAGCGCCGGGCTGCAGCCCACGGCATGACCCGAAATGGCAACGTTGCGTAATCTGCTTTGCTTCAGTCAACCCGTTCACCGCTGGCAACTCCCTGAAACTCCCTATGAAATAATGTCTGAAGTACAAACTGATGTTAAAAAAGCAGACTTGCTTCACTTTTAAAACAGAAGATTATCACACTGAAAGTTTGCTCATTCAAAGCAACATCTATAAAAGCAACTTGCTCGTCTAGACACAAATCAGCGATGCACAAAGAATGAAAAGAGGAATAATTAAGTAGAATCCAGTGGTATTCTCCTTACCCAAGGCCACAAAAGGAAATTAAAAAGCCTTACACTCTCAGAATATACATGCTCGTGCCCAGCTGATTAAAGACAGATACCGAGCGTTGCGATATTCTGGTGTTCCTCCCCCAAAAACTATAAAAACTGGTAGTTCTGTTTTCTCCAGTCCAGTTTTTACCTTTCTTAGCTCTTGGCTGCATCTGTACCACTGCACTGACCGTGAAAGGCAAATGCAACACAGGTTCTTCTGCCATTAGGAAGGGTTGAAGGGCTTTGAACTGAGGGTGAATCGATAGCGCCTCGAGCTCCCCTGATGCGAGTTCCTCTTCCACACAGAAAAGCAGCATTTTGAATAGAGCCTCTGCAACAGATGAGAGTCTGACGGAGACCACACAGCTATCGGTTTAAGTTTGGTACTTCAGCAAGGATTTCAACAGATTTAAAAGATTTTGCCTTGTTTACCTTGACTTAATGCAGCCACCCTCCTAGTTTATGGGGGAAAAAAGGCCACTTGAGAGAAATAATATAGAGTCAAGCATTTTCAATTATTTGAGTAAATAGGAGGCGTTTAGTGTAATTTATTCAGTTAGCTTGTTAAAAAAAAAAAAAAAAAAAAAGGACTACAGGCTGGATTCGCAGATTTCCTTATTGACTAGACTCATGCTGGGAAGATACAAAAACAATGCTTGTTCTCAGCCGGGCTTCCAGCATGATTCTGCTCTACCAGCTAATGAGAGAGAGGAAAACACCCAACATGTAGTACATTTTGGTTTGCTTTGAGTCGTTATATGTGGGTCCTACTTACCAGCTTACAGTTCAAGGCATAGATGGAAAAAATAAACTGTCACATTGAATTACTTGGTCCTGCAACTATTTCTGTCCTACATGATAGAAAAAGGCTCCACAACACACTTGTGACCCAAAAACTGGAAGACGTTTCAGTATACAGCAGCAAACACGGACAAAAAGGAAAACCAACATATCCACCAATGTATTTCTGAATAGATTTCACTCTAGATACCCGCTAACTTCAGAATAAATGAAATAAGCAGTGGTTCCCACAGCAGAGCTGGCTGCCTGGCAGAGGGACCCCGTAACATCGAACGCTCCTTCCACTTCCAGCACCGTCAGTAACCTCCCCCGGGGCCATGGGGACCGCTCGCCACGATGGGACCGGCTGCAGCGGGCAAAGCAAAACCCAAAGCACACGCAAATGGAAAATCACAGCTTCTCAAACAAGGATAAAGAGCTATGGTACAACCGCGTCACTTCAGAAAATAAATGAATAAATAATAAAGCAGCCCTTTGT